GAGGGTCAAGCAATGATGAACTGCACAGGAGGTGTTTATATGCTAGATAGAACAATGAATGGGCTGATAGGGAGCAGGTGTAGACAGAAGCAAAGGAGCTAAGGGGAAAGCAAAGGGACACTAGGGGGCAACAAAGAATAAGCAGGGAAAACATCAGGGTCCAACTGTAACTACAAAAAAACTTAAATTAAGCTAAAGGAATAAAATTAATGGCAACAATTAAAACTAGAGCAAGCAATAGTAATACCAAAAATGCTGAAAAGATATAACTGAAAGAAATAACAAGGGGGGTTAAAACCAAAATAATCAAAAATGATATAGATCTTGATGAATAAAGAATATCATAAAATAAAGTATACATCAGAACCCTTAAACAGAACAGAAAACTTATAGAACCAGAAAGAGCAGAATCATAAAAGAAGATCAGGGTCTTATGTATAAAGCAATTCTGCACACAGTAATCTGCATTTCAAGTGTTTAACTTAAAACTCGGGATGTATAGAATTTACGTTTAGTGATATTGTGCGACAATCCATTCCAACATTTGAAGTCGACCAATTATTGTGCAAGAATGGCAGCCTTGGTAATGCTGGAGGACATCGACAGTGGAAGAATCAGGGAGGTGTGTTTAAAGATCCCGCTGTCCTGCTGGGACATGATGATGGATGGATCATTATCTGGTTTAGATTTTCCAGCATCACAGCAGGGAAGAAGGAAACCCTTTCCGCCATGCCAGTTCAAGTTCTAACTGCAATAGATTTATTTATTATTTTATTTAAGGCCCTGACAGGTTGGGCTTTTAACAGTCACCCTCAGGCCTCCCCATGGCGGCCATATTAGTGTATTGCACACATGTACAAAATTCTCTCTAGAAAATAAGCTTGAGTTGATACACATTAAATTACAATTTGAATCGAGCAGCTGATTTAGAAATGGAACGCGTGGCTTTTGTGCCTATAAGGCTGGATCTATTAATATAACTTTCACTGTTATACATTTAGAGCATTTTGATTACAATGATGTGCACAGATTTGTGATGAGCAAACTCAGAGGCAATAAGTTTGCTGGATTACTCAGGATTTCTCTATAGTTACTATATTAATAGCAGCAACCATTCTGAATAATAGTTTCATTAGGACCAACCATGGTTCTGAACCAAAAAAAATTGGCTTTTCCCTTTCAGGTTAGATGAGAGTTCCTCCCTTGAGTGTAGCAGTTCAAGTATCTTGGAGTCTTGATCACAAGTGAGGGGAGAATGGAGCAGGAGATCAATAGACGGATCATTGTGACTGCTGCTATAATGCAGACGCTGCACTGGTCTGTGGTGGTGAAAAGAGAGCTGAGAGAAAAGGCAAAGCTCTTTGCGATAACAGCATTGCTGCTTTATCTGACTTTCCACCCATCCAACCAACACCTTGGTTAAACTGCATTTTCTTCCACTCTCTTGGCTCCCATTGTTTACAATTAAATAACACTGATCATCTGGCTCATTCAAATACACAGTCACAATTATGTTGTGCTTTGCCTGGACAATTTATGGTTCAATGTGAGCGTTAAGTGGGACAAACATGAGCTGGAGCCTTCAATGCATATTTTACAGCACAGCTGTGATCTTTATCCTGAGCTATCTCTATAGTTATGCTGCTATAGGCTTAGACTTCTGGAGGACATAGGGACCCCCATTTCATCATTCTGTTTCATTCTATCTCTGTTCTCCCACTCTGCAGAATCTGCTAGTTCAATCTCTAACATTTTGCTTTCTCTGCTTTTTCTCATAGTAGCTTAATCTGGTCTGTTCCTGTTTGGCTGTGACACCATCCTGGAGAGAAATATCAGCTGTGCTGCTGCCATCAACACCGTTGTTTATAGATGCTGGAGATCGGCCTGTTTTCCATTGTAGTCCTGTTTCTCTAAACGTGACTGGCTGGATGTGCTCTCTTCATCCTCTGACATGGGAGCAGGCTCGGAGCTTGTCTGCCTGGCTGTGTGTTTCCCTTGCCTTTTACAGCTACTTTTTGTATCTCTGCTTCTGTCTCTTTGAACTCCAGTCGGCCTCAGCAGATGGCCGCTCACACTGAGCCTGGTTCTGCTGGAGGTTTCCTCCTGTTAAAAGAGAGTTTTTCATCTCCACTGTCGCTACAAGCATGCTTAGTGTAAGGGATTGCATTTAAGACAAGGAGTCGATGCAATCAACTGGTTTTCCTCAGATAGAAAACTTTGACTCAAATTGACTGTATGATCTGGTGAACTGTAAAGTGCCTTGAGATGACATGTGTTGTGAATTGGCGCTACATAAATAAACTGAATGGAACTGAATTGAATTTATAGGAAAATTGCTTTGTTTTGTGTATGCATAATCTTTTATGTCACATTTTTTTTTGCAGGATGTCTGTTTTTTTTTTAGAGTGCAAGACTGCACTACCCACTGATCCGCAATCACCTTTCTTCTTCTATTTTAGAATAGAAGAATGTCATTGTTTGTATCGTAATAAAAACCCATGGATCTATAATATTTGGCGTCCCTCATTCTGTGATGGATTAGGTAACTGTTCGGATGCCTCTGTTGGGAAAGGGTTCAGGCGTAGAGCAGGTAAAGGCTCTGCTGATAAAAACTGATAGATTATCCTTCTACTTCTAAAACACAATCGATGGCTTTAAAAAATATTGCACAGGTGTCAGACAGTAAATACCCAAATCCTTCCCTCAGCCTTCTCTGTATTGACCCAAAGCTTCAAGTCTGCAGTCTTTACTCCCTAAACACTGAAAATACACATATGAAAAGTAAATTTTAATTAGTTAATGTATTTAATTATTTATATACTTCAGCTATGTGCAAATCTGAAATATATTGTTGACCGTTCACATTCAGGGCTGCAAAACCAGGCAGAGAAGTATTTCTGTTTTAAACCTCTATCTTGTTTGTCCTGTTAAGAGCTATCTCAGTCTTGCTGACCAGTCTTTAATATTTACATGAGAAAATGCACTATGTACCACACAAAATAAAAAAGACGGTTAAAAAGAAGAGGAGGGTCTCTGTTTTTTAAGAAAAAACATGCAAATTTATATTATTTGATATTTTCAGGTTCCCCCAAAATAAAAAAACGGAATCCATTTTTAGTAACCTCAAAATGCCCTTATGCTTTTGATAATTCTTTTTGCTTTTATACATCTTGTATTTAGACTTTCCAAAATATTTAAATAATAGACCAACTCTTAGATGTTTATGAATTTAAATAGTTTTAGGGGAATTTTAAATGTGAAGGAATTATCTGTGTTTTCTCAAAAAGCATGCAAACAACAAACACTAAAACTGTTTCTTTTTCTTGCACTGAATAACATCCAGTCATTGAAGCTGTGGAGCTGAAAAACGAAAAGGGACTTGGTAGAGATGAGGGGCAAGTTAGGACTTGATCAACCCAAAGTGACTCACCTGGGAGAAAAATTGAATAAAGCAACACATAAAACAAGATATATTTGCTTAATGAAACTGATGCATGTTTTAAAGGAAAAACAATATTATTTAACCTATAACTTATAATTCAAATACAAACTTTAGTTTTATGTACAACATACATGGCATTTAATTGTAGTTCTCCTAAATAATATCTACTAGTACTAAATAAAGTTTGGTGGGATGTGTGTTTTTTTTTTTTTTTCCCCAGGAATCGCCTGACAGGGAAAAAAAGACTATAATTTAATATCTGTATAAAACCAGCTGTTCAGGGAAAGTCTCATAGTTTTGTTAGAGAAACACAGAGTATCATCAAAACCATGCTACACTTCACTATAACCTTAAATTGCCAAATAAAACTGAACTTTAGTGGACTTAATATGGCAATTTCGATTTTTCATAGCAGAATTTATGTGACTTTTAGTTTAAAACATATACAGGGTCTCTGTTTTTAAGAGAAAAATGTAGCATAAAATGACAGTTCAGCTACAATATTGGCCTTTAGAAAAATAGCAAGTGAGCGTTTTAAACTCAGCCTTCTGACCTTTAAGATCTGTCCAAGTTTTGATTGGTTCACAATTACATTTGGCTGGAGCTGCAATTACAGCCTACAAATGCTATTCAAATAGGTGTACTGTTCTCTTAAAATGTCAATTTGACATTTGAGAATAATTCTTTTTTTTTAATATAATCTAAGGTAGTTAAAGGGAGACCATTGAGTGTGGGAAATCAGTTCAAGTATATGTTGCTACGCTGCTATTAAGCCTTTGTTTGCTCTTGTTCTAAAACCTTCATACTTATACATACTTTATACATATACTCATATACTATATACAATATATAGTGTATAGCTATATACTATATACACAGTAGACTGTGAGTTAATGTAACGCAGGAGATCTCTAGACCTCCTGCATTACATTAAGACACAGTCTACTGTGTATATAGTATGTGGCTTTATACGATAGTATATTGTATGTTTTATATTGTATATAGTTACGGATTCTGTATTTTGTAAATATATCAAATTTGTCTGCACCATCAACATCAAGTCAAATTTCTTGTAAGTGCAAACCTACTTGACAATAAATCTGCTTCTGATTCTTCTGTTTCTTCTGATTCTTCATTCAAAACTAACACCACGTGACATTCTAAGCTATTTTAAATTTTTATTTATTCCTTTATTCATTCATCTATTTTTTTTTTCACTATTTATATTTATCAGATTTTTCTTATCATTTTTATATCTATAAAACCAAAAAATATGATGCATTATCCTTTTCATCCTCTCCTTTCTCTTCAAACACTACCATTTCAGTGTTAGAGGGTTAGCCAATCACATTCCTTTGTTTTCATCGAGTCACTCAGGGAATAACCAATCAGAATCGCCGACACGTTTCCTGTTCCGCCCATTGTTTTTTTCTCGTTACCAAGGCGACAGCTCAGCAGACGTTGTGGTTGGCTGAGCCGCTGTTACATCAGAGTGAAGCCGGGATTTCCTCTCCCCCTGCCTGGCTGTGTGTGACCCACCTTGTGTCGTTATGTGACGGAGCAGCAGAGCCGTGAACGCCGCTGTCGGGAGGCAGCACGCACTCTGTACACGTGAGGCGGAAAGTTTGACATTTTCACATCTAGTGTGTCCGTCCGAGCACCGCGCCGGCTCTCCGGGGAGATGTATCCACACAGAACCGAAGAAGTTTAAGGCTACTGAGGCGTCATGATCATCTTCATCTGGATGTCTTAATTTCAAGCACATCTTAACTGCTCCCAAAGTGACCCACGAAAGGCGGAATTTACCGTAAGTGATGTAATAATAAGCAGTGGAAATGTACTACTGTGAAGTTAGTTCCCTGATATTTCTCCTCAAGGGCTGAAACTTTCTTGAACAAATCTGATCACATTGCTTAGAGGTACTTTTTCAAACAAGTTCTACAATTTCTTTTTAGGTTTTGTTATTTGTTTTGGCACATGTTTTAGAGGAAATACAACAAATGCATCATCCAAAAGTACTGATGAATAGACAAAGTTTAAATGAATGGATGGAAGAAGAGTGAATCAGTTTTAATGGTTGGATGGATGATAATAACATAGTTTTAACTGCTGGATTCATTGATTGAGGGACAAATAGTTTTTATATATGGAAATGTGGACAGACATTAATGGACAGATGGATGCAACAAAAAAGTTTGATAAAGAGAAAAAAAAAAGGTATACAGATTGATGTTTCCATATGAAAAGAGGAAATACAGCCTAGATATTCATTTTTTCCATGAATATTATATCCCCACTCAAAATATACTTATATGAAATTTATTGGTCCTGTTCTAGAGGGGAAAGGAAGCCTGTATAGTGTATGTATTAGGATATAAGTCGTATATTTAGACTGTTATATGTTGTTTGACTCTAATGTTGAGTCAAATATACCATGGTGTTAAAACTAAAATATTTAACATTGCTGATTTGTATTTATTTAAAACGGATATATAGCAGTTATTCCCGCTGCCGCTAAAATAATTCAATATATATTATTACAGCCATAATAGTTATACATGATATATATTTACTGCTATTCAAACTTTAATGTTGTAAGTGTAAAAATCTCCATATTTCTCAGTCATTTCTGTACTTTTTTGTGTGACATTTTGTAAAAAAAATTGCTATGATGTAAAATGTACGTTTTTGATTCAAAGAAGTAAGTATTCCTTAATATTAGAAACGACCTGATTATACTGTAGAAATGGTAGAAAATTCTATCGTTGTTAATAATAATAAAGTACTTGGAAATGTATTTATTTTTTTTTTTAGAAAGATTGAAAATCATTCCTGTTTTAGAGGGTAATTAAATGAATCAACAGAAGGAACCACTTATTTGAAAACAGATACTGTACAGAAGATGCCGACAAAGATCCAATTCAGTACCGATCCGATATGTTCTCAGCATGCATCAGATATACTTTTTAACACATTTTGTAGAGTTCAATGTTAAAAAAAAGGCTTTAGAAATTGGCATTACTTATACAGCTAACAATAACCAACAACAATAGGTATGAGAACATTTCACTGAAAGAAAATTTAAAACAATCCACTGGACTTTGTTTCAAAGTTTGAAGATGTTTGGCCTCCCATCCAGGAAGCTTTTTCAATTCAAAATGTCAGGAATAGCGTTGAGTTCAAGGTTTTATACAGTAGCCCAACAAAGCCTTGTTTTTGTTTGGAAAAACCTGCAAATTGGAACAGACGAAGGGGTTCATCGATTCGGAATGGGGTTTGTCTGGCTTCTTTTGTTAGATTGCAATGCCCCATACCCGTCTAAGTGCCATCTAAGTATCTCACTGACGTATTATTAACTTATTGGTTATATAGATTTTAAACAGAAGCACACTATTTATTTATATCAGTGTCCTTATCTCTGAGATTTTAAATGCAGGCCGATATATTCTGTTTATGCACCGCTTTGAAAATCTTGTCAGGTATCCATATCAGTTAACAATATTGACGTTATGGCCGATAACCAATGTTTACCTCTGCCATATATCATATTTTTCCCTTCCTATTGGGCATCGTAAAAAAACATCAACCCCATTTCTGATATGGATTCTCTGCTTCAGTTAAATACCCAGAATACTGAGCTTCATCACAGTCAAAGTCACAGGACTGGTATTTTGCTGCAATAGAAACGGCAACCACGTGGAAATAAACGTCAGTTGGTAATATCTGCACAGTTTCACTTATTGGACCAATACCCATATTTTTAAAATTGACCAACACCGACTGATAATGATTTTGTTACCGATTTATTGTGCTTTTTTCATTCTGATATTCCTCTTAGTCTGATGGATGGAAAGATTTCTATCATATTCCTTTTTGATAACCAGAAAAAATTCCAAAGTCTGACTGCTTAAAATCAAAATAGAAAAAAAACGAACCTTCTCTTTTAGGCTCTAAGCTTTACCCCCATTTAGGCGTGTTTTGTTGACGTACTGCTCTGAACGTTTTTGACATTTCTCTTGAGAAAACCAAACCTGACTTACAGGTTAAGCTGCAATGCTGGAAGATAATTACTTATAAAGGATCGTGCATGGTAAAAAAGTTTGACTGCCTTTAATTCCCGTCGAGTTAATGCCATGCTGAGCTCTGAGAAAGTTTACCCAACACGCACACAAAGGCTGTGGATTGAAGGAGGAGAACAATATTTTCTACCTTTCCCTTACGTCTGAATCTCGGTTCTCACCTTATCAACAGTGATTGCGTTTCAGCATATTTCCCAACAGTACTTCTGGTATCAGTTTCTACTTGTGCCCCAGCTGAGCTGCCAGTATTGAATCTCCTTACTGCCTGCTTTCTTTGGCCCACACCGGGCCGGCCTGACCTTGCAATGGAGCTTTGCTAGAGAAGGGATCAGTGGCGGCGTACGGGACATGCCGGCTCAGCTCATACACCTGCTTCAGAGCTCCCAGGGCGGCTGGCAGGCTGTCTTTAAACAGATAAGGACTGTATGCCAGAGAGGGGTGCTGACCTGTGAGCAGAGTGGTGTTTTTAAAAAAAGACTATCTGCATCGCAGAGGGTGATTCAGCAAAACACTGCTCTTCTGTAATAGCTCTCAGGGTTAAGGGAAGACAGAGCAGCTGGATTACCATGTTTGATCCATCCCTACCAAGAGTCTGCCTGTAATAACAGCTTGAAGAGTCATAAAAAAAAAAATCTGTCAAAGACGCATCACTCCATTAAGATGTTTGCCTTGTTGCTTTCAGCTCCTTTACAGGCAGAAATCCTTCAGAGCTGTCATCTATAAACTCCTGTTGGTCATGGGGGGATTGGAACGCAGCATCATACAGTTGTTCTTAGTTTGTCCTAAAGAAACTCATCCGAGAACTGAGAACTGGTTCCTTTGGAGTAAAAGTTGTCCTTTCCCTATTGTTGTCAGTATGGGGGCAGCAGTTTGACTCCAAGGCTAGCCTACATAAGGGGACATTATGTATTTATGTTTTGATTGTGTAATTATAACTGTAAATCCTTGTTTTATTTCATATTTGAATTAGGGCTGAAACAATTAATCAGATTAATCATGATTTATTGCTTATTGTAGAAATCATTGTATTGTAGAAGTCAACTAATTGTACTAATTGATTAATTGTTAAATTGAGTATAGAGACTGTAAAAAATGCCTTTATCTGACAGAGCGACCCGCTTAGAGCAGTAATTATATCAAAATTGAAAATATATATATATATATATTTAAATATTTTTCATTGAAGATAAAAAAAACTGATTTAATTTCTTAAGAAATCTTCTTATAAGGAACTTTTGGCTATCCGATTATTAATCGATTAATCAAAATATATATATATGCAAAATAATCGTTAGTATCAGCCCTAATTTGAATATATATATATATGTAAATGCAAATCAAAATATATATATATGCAAAATAATCGTTAGTATCAGCCCTAATTTGAATACAGCGAAGTCATCAGTACAAAAGTCTAATGATAGAAACCCCAAGATAGTTTAGTTTAGTCATGTTTTAGCCACAATCCTCTTAATCCGCCTTAAAAACCTGTTTGGAACTGGTGGCTGAAGCAAACTGAAATGTTTCTCCTTCCTGACTTGTCAGTGTCTCTGTGTTGTGCTACTTTCTTCTGAAAACCTTCATAAGTAATTTTTGTTTTTATTCAGTTTTTATTTACTTACTTTATTTCTACTAAATAGCTCACAGTTTTTGTGATGGTTTATGCAAAAGTAATGATGCCACAATATGATTCCTGCTAAAAGATTCAGTCAGTTTATCCGGATACAGCATCCTTTCCCAGAAACATTGGTAAACTTTTTCTTATTGAATCAACTCTGAATTATCAGTCAGAGATGTTGCCAGGAGGAAGGCATCTATCTGCTGCCATCCATCTGTTTGTTAGCCTCTGTAATTACCCATTGCTCTGAAACTAAATAAATATCTTATCCAGACCATATTTCTCTCTCCATTCTGTTATAAAGGGTTTTCTTTTTCCAAGGCTGACCCATTATAAAAGTAAAAAACATTTTTGTTTTCCACAATTAAACCATTTTGTGCATTCTGTATTCTTTTTTTTTTCTTTCAATAAGAAATCCATGATTCAAATCATTGGAGATTTTTTTCTTAGTTATTTTCTTTCTATAGTTTTTTTTGTAACCAGTTTTTTTTATTTTTTTTATTTGTATCTTTAGAAGCCATGTTCCCTGATGCCCTGGATGCAGCCGGGCGGGTGGAGGGCCTTCCACTCTCCTCTCCACTACCGCTGCCCGACCTGGAGGAGGAGGAAGAGGCCGAGGCATCAGCAGAGAGGGGGCCAAAGAGACGAGGCCGCTACCGTAGAAGCCTGCAGCTTCTAAAGCCCTTCAGGATAACACACAAGTAATTTGTTCAACATTTATGGAGAAGCTCTTTCAACATCAACAAAAAAAAAAAAAAAAATAACATGAATCATATATTAATGATTGGCTGCAGTGTTCACTAATGTTTAAAGCTTCCTGTTTGGACAACCGAAGGTCCGATTAGTCAGCTTGGAACTCATTTGACCTTATTTTCAAATATTGTTTGGCCCTAACTCAACCTAACACACTCTACCAACCGACAGGCATGCTGGTGGCTGCATGATGCTGCGGGTCTGTGGTACTGGTGTGGTGCACAAAGTTTGTGAAACTATTAAAACGAAAGACTGTCTTCAAATTCACTTTAAATCAACAGCTTTATGAGTGAAACTGGACACAGTTGTGTCTCAAAAGAACTCTAATTTGAAACATACTCCAGAAGATTGTTTTAAAAAGCATAGAGCTGGGACAAAAGTCTCAAATGCATAAGAGAGGTAGAGCTGATATGGGGAACTCAGTAGTTTTCTGGCTGTCTAATCAGCAGACTGTCAGGGTGTAGCAGGAGGCCATGATAAGGCATGGGAACGTATCCCTCAGTGGCACACAGCACCATGTTGGAGCATGTCTCACCTGATAAACCAACCCCCTCCTCTATTTTTCTTTCTTTTCCGCTGCTCTCACAGATTTCTGTGAAGAATGTGCAAATTACTGTCCAAACACTGCAGCCAGGAGTCTCATGTTGCTGGCTCTGACCATTAAAGACACCGCTTATTTTTTCATGGGCCTGAATGGTTGATGAGAGAGCTAACATAGCATCTCTGCGTTAGCCCTGCACTCTCACCCATTTTCACGTCTTCTGTTCTATTCCAGGCATCAACACCCTGTTGATAACGCGGGCCTCTTTTCTTTTATGACCCTACACTGGCTCTCCCCGCTGGCTCTGAAGGCCTATAAGCAGTCCAGCTTGTCTTTAGATGATGTGTGGGGACTGTCTTGCCACGAAGCATCAGCAGTCAACTGCAAAAGGTGAGATTTAGCTCATGAAATAGATCTAGAGTGTGAAAAAAAAAAAGAGTCCTGCTCCTGAAATACTTAGGGGACTTGGGGAGGGGCTTCAAATTCACCCTATTTCTTTGCTTTAATTATTCTGGATTATTAGAAAAGGAAAACTGAGTGTCAAGATAAATCAAACTGAATTAATAATGATTTATTTTTACATTTTAAAAATGTATAACATGGGTTTGTACGCTGATGATGTCCTTAATCTTTGATATGTAAAATCCCAACTTTTCCAACTCATTAATCATTTAGATTTTTAGGTTATTCACCGAAAAAGTCTATAAAAAATGCAGTTTATTTCCTGTTAGAATCTTGTAGACTGTTAAATCAGGATGTTTTATTGTTTTATTGAGACCAAGTCTGGTTTAGATCCCAATAAACTCACTGACACAGTTTTTATTTGTCATACCAAATTATATTAACTTATTATTGATAAGAAGAACCCATATTCAGACTTTCTAGATTTAAGTGTAAAAGATCTTAATATATTTTGAATTAAAGCATCTCTAAGTTAGTCTATATGCCAACAAAGCTGCGAAACAACCCTTTGCTACGTCACCAAACCATCACCCTAAATTTAGGTTTGTATTAAATTTGTCTAATGAGTGTGTACAAGTGTGAATTTTGAAATGGAAAATTTATAACTCCCTGTTTTAAGGACTTTTTTTTAAACAGCTGCAGGCACCGCTTCTCTTAATAGCCTCACAAAGGAATGTTTTAATTTCTTAAAACGGTTTTTAAAGGTATGGGTGAATACATTATGTATTCTTGCCTAATTCTAAGTCGAAACCAAATGCTAAAAGAAAGATAGCTGGAAGGTGCCTTTCTGCTCTTTTTAAACCTAAGAATATATATTTTTGCATCTTATAAAACCAATGCGTCAGCTTCTTATTGCCATAGTTGATTTTATATTGTTTTCTAGGGAAAGTTGAGGTGAGGTAGCATACACTGATTTCTCTGATCTTAGCCCAGCAGTGATTAAAGGGGTTTTAGCTTTTACACATCCAAAGATAAATACCTGGGGCAGTTATTTTCTGATGGTTCCAAAAACACTAAAAGCATTCCTCCACCGCTCAGGTATTTGTTTTAATTCACTAGAGTGACTGAAAGCAAGAAAACAAAACAACACATCTATGGACAGAATGGAAGGTTTGGGTGAAAACATACTCCATGCATCTAGATGATTCTGATCCATCCATTTTCTGTCACACTTCCTCCCTGCTGGGGTCGCGAGGGTCTCCAGCTGTCAATGGGCGAGAGGCGGGGTACACCCTGGACAGGTCACCAGAGACAACCAGGACAAAAGCGATTCAAACACACACTCACAAGAGAATTTAGAGAAGCCAATTAACCTAACAGTCATGTTCTTGGCCACTGAGCAGGCCTGTGATCGTGATGCTCAAATTATTTACATAAAAGACAAAACATTAACGCTTGACTTCACTCTAAACAGCAACCCAAAGTAAAGTCAGAAGACAAACGTGCAATGAGGGGGTATTTTCAGACGAGAAGAGCATTCAGCTACAGGCCCCATGTTCAAAATGCTTCACATGGAAAAAAACTAGCTGCATATTACTCTGAACCCACTCCAGTGTAAAACATGGCAGTGGCAGCATCATGCTGCAGGATGTTTTTCTTCAGCTAGCACAGGAACATGACAGATTAAAACCTGCAGGAGACTTGACACGGGGACAGAGATTAGGCTTTCATTAGAGTAACAACCCTAAATATATAGCCAGTGCTAAAACGGAGCGGTTTGGTTAAACACAGCTATGTGTTGGAATGGCCTAGCCTAAGACCAGAAGTAAAAATTCAGTTTAAAGTTAAAAAAGCAAAATTTCTTTTAATCTTATTAAGCTATTCTAAAATGACAAATGGGCTTCACTTTCGGGATGCACTTCTGTTTGGAAAACATTTTTCAAAGTCTTTGTTTTTTTTCTTTTTAAATATTTTTCTCCCACTTCACAATGACATCTTAGCTCGATCAGAGAAAAATACATGAATTTTCTTTTGCTCAGACTCCAAATATTTGCTCTGAATGAAGCATTTTCCTGAACTTTTTTTCTCTCTCTTGTTTTTCTTGAAACAATAAAATATAAAGGTAAGTATTCTGAATTCTTTATGAATTATCTTTGATTTGATGTCCTTCCATGAAAGGAAGACACCCTTTCCTTTACTGTTTCTATAGTAACAGTTATTTTTACGGCTTTACTTTCAGTCAGTATGTTGTTGTTGTTTTTGTTCCATGAGACCTAACTGATGAGCAGCCTGTCGCTCACTAATGCAGGAACACCGTGTTGGGGTCAGGAGGGGCCATCTAAGTATAGCAGGGATTAGAGATTACAGTGAAAGTTGTTCCCTGACTTGTGTGCATATGTCTCTCCTCCACCTGAGTCTCCCGGTGTCTCCCTGTCACTATAATTAGCTGTCACTGGCCGTCGCCGTTAGGCCGCCAAAGCACGGCTTAAAAAAATAGTGATGTTTACTGAATGAACTATAAGGACTAGAATAAGTCCAAAAGAAAAGTAAAGAGATGCATTGTTGTCTTTCTCACTAATGTGCTGCCTCCATGGCATGACTCGGCAACAAAGAGGGGGATGACTTTTGAGGAAGTTCTGCTGAATCGGATGACAGCTGCGTGACCGGCTCAGCTGAGGTCTGGCAGTGCATTGCCTCTTCTTCTTTCACGTGCGTCAGAGTGCCTATTCAAAAGAAGCAGTAATGAACCATGTTTCCAGTTATGTCAGGCATAGCAAGAACAGTTATGCAACCCTGATAGAGAGATGATGGTACGAGGAGAAACTTGGAGGTGGAAAAAAAAAAAGGAACCCTTGGAAGAGTTGACACTCGCCGGTTCTCGTTGAAGTGCCAAGCTTTAACGCAATGTCCTGGTCGACACTTCCTCAAAACATCAGCATCTCTTGCCATCTGGCTGGTGGCTGTTAGGAACATTTCATCCCTGCTTAAAATAGTCCCTCTTTTGGAGCACACGCGGCTGCCTCTGTGGTCTCATTTACATTTCAGTCGCTGTCTGCGGACAGTCAAGATCTTTTGCTTCTGTGAAGTATTTAGTTTACATTTGGCCTTTTTAGTGTTTTACCAGGTTTTAGAAACAAAACATTACACATAAAATGGTGATAACAAATGTTACACAAGTCTCAAGTTAAACAAAAATATTAACATATTAAGAAATGTTATATATAAAACATTTATTAAAGGCTGGGTTGGGTTGCTACTTTGCCAGTGCTCCCCCCCTGAAGGCCACTAGTGACACTGTACTGTAGCGCTTCAAACGGTCTCCCATCATGTTTTGCAATCAGACCTCTTTGGACATTTATTTACCTCTCTAGATGAGATCCCACAGCAGAGAACCAGAAATAAGTCACATCAGATAAGTTTTGCATCAGTTTTGTTGCCTAACAACAACTCAGCTTAGTCAGTACCCCCCTGCTTAAGGGGAGCTCAGACTCTTGACTCATTCAGTAATGGATTCGTCAGTGTAAAGTTACATGGGCAAGTTTTTGAGAAGAGCAGACCTCAAAGAGCATCAATACACCCCATTTGCTGTATAATGACCTCAAAAATTATTGGTTTTAAACTAATACTTGGGTCAAAACTCAGTGTATCACTGTGGATAGCAAATGGAGAGAGTGGCAACATATGCTCCTTACACAATTTCAGGGTATGGCCATTAAATGGGCTAATGAATCAGTGAACACATGCACATATTGGTCGATGACATTACAAGGATAAAATGCCAGCCGATGTATCTACCTCTATATACCTACCATATATCTCTATCTATCCTAAGAAATTTAGCAAAGAAGAATGTGCACAGGTTTAAGGTTCCACATGTGCAAGACTGGCAGAAACATAAACCCTTAAGGAGTGTCTTCAGCATTTAAGCCTAAGGGTTTTTTGAAAAGGATACAATAGCATTGCATTAAACATTTTTCTAGTTTATGCTTTTAAGAAGGATTTTATGCTTTTAATCTCTTTCTGCAATGACCTATTGTCACATAGGTCATTGTAGAAAGAGATTAAAAGCATAAAATGAAAATGAAAGAATGTTCGAGCAATGTGGCACTGTCCGGTAAATTCATCCCACTAAAATAAAGCTTAGATAGTGGCCATATTATAAAAGCAAGGCAAGATTATTTGTAAACCACATTTAAGCAACAATGCAACACAAAGTGCTTTATATGATCAGAACATAAAGAAGAAAACACAGAAAGTGCATTGTATTGGCATAATAACTTAAGGAAATTTGGAATCTAGGATCAAATGAATTATGGTTCTGCCAATAGATCACAGAGAACAGGTAAATAAAGCCAAACTACATTGACATTTCTGCCTTATTTTCAATATAGATTATTGCATCTGTAATTTTCTCTGACCCACCCACAACACACACATTTCAGCTAATTCCTGAGGTGCGTGTGCAGCTTTCAGCTGCTGTTTAATTGTAATTTCCTCCATTCAGCACCATTTGACTTCGGATAGTAATTATCAGGCGTGGTGAACGTGTAGTTGGCTTAATGCTCTGTCTATCTCTGATACGTTTTTAATAAAGTCGTTTGGGGCATAAATTACTTTCTGCAGCTGCTCCGCTGCTGCTTTATGGACTCATTAGCCGTGACGCTTTTGGCCAACAAGGATATTTATCCACTTCAAGTTGTGTTCTGCAGCTACAGAGGTATAGCAGAGCATCTCTAACACGTTAGGTACCTTTCTTGCACTGATGGGTGTGATGAATCACTTATCATTCTGTGTTGGAGCTCACCTTTCCATAATTATCACTTTGTTAATTTCTGTTTTGTGGTTTCTAACTAGCATAATTGCCCCCAGGTTGTGTAGACTCCCCAGGGTGGACTTCTTGGTATTCTCATACACTCTTTTTACATAATAATAACATAAAAACAGGATAGATGAAATATTTTTTTACTCATAATCTTGTAAAGGCAAAAATTTAATCTGCCAATGACTGAACTTTTGCAACCGAGGAAGGTGGTTTCATTAAATGTTATTTTTATATGTTTCAGTTCCTAATATTTACTTCTGATTCTTTATTTGGGGGGTTTTAGACTCGAATCTTTGTGGCGCAATGAGCTGAAAAGACATGGACGAGAGGGAGCATCCCTGACCAGAGTCTTCTGGAGGTTCTGCCAGACCCGGATGCTTGTGGCTGTCTTCTCTCTCCTCCTCACTATGGTGGCAGGCTTCGTTGGACCTGTGAGTGCCGTCTGAATTACTGCTTCTCCTGTTTCTGTTCCATTGGCACCGCTAATGTTCACCTGAGGGGTTTTGTGTTTGTACTTTAAATCATTTCGTTCACTTTCATGCTTGAAACTTAAATGAATGCCATTTCAGTTATTAGTCGCATTTGTGCTCAGAAATGTGCATTTGTTGATTTCTCTCTTTCATTTTTTTTTTTTTTTTTTGCTTTGGTTTTTCTTTAAAAATCCCCTCAGAGTAAATATTTTAAAGCAGATTATTTCTAAGCCTTTCATATCAGATATTAGGAACGGCTTTAGAATAAGGTTTAGATTTCTACTTTATTTCTTATCTGACTTCCTTTTGCTTTGTTGCTTTTTTGCTCCAAGCAGTTTATCTTTAATTCTGCGGTATGTTTGCTGTATTTCATCACTGCCTCTATCGTCTAATCGCATTAACTGGGTTTGCTTTTTGGTCAGGGAGGCATTTGTCTGACTTTGGTGTATAAAATATTTTCTGCACATGATCACAAAGCAGCATTGTGTGGAACAGTTTATTTCTGCTGTACATTAAGAGGCTTTAAACCATTCAAGCAGTCTCTCGTTTTATATGCAACATGTGCAAAAACCTTCTTATTAAGGCTGAATATCTATGGAAACAATATTTCACATATTTGCAATAATTACATTGATTATTATCAGCTCACATTTAATTTATCGTTTTCCTCCTTTATTATTACACAATGTGCGCACCAGTCTGTGAACCCTCACCTAGAAATGAATTCTGAACGGGCAGCAATGATTGTTAAAAGTCCTCTTTTTAATCTGACTGGGATTTGTTGATTTCTCAGTAATGCATTGGGTCAATGGGACATGACTCTGAGGTTATTTACAGCCTGCCCTTCAGACTGAATGAGGATCATGCAAGGGCGTAGGTTTGATTTCAACTTTGTAAGTGACACTATTGGTCTGATGTCATTGGTCCTATGCATAAATATGCATGCTCGTTTTTTGATGCTTGACGTGAGAATCAGGAATTATTTTGATTAAAGGGATCATGTTTACCTTGAAACCAGGTTTGAACATGCAGAGGTGCTTGTTTGAAAACTGCAGCATTGTGACATTACTTGGCTGTTTCCATAACTGCCATTAAAGACTACCTAAATGCCTAGCAGTTGTTTGCAGTGCATACAAGGAGCAGGTTCAGACCTGAGATCCCTTCAGGACCTGCTGTGTTCAGGACTCTGAGCTGGGTTGGCTCTACCTGCTGCTATAGTCTGAACACTGCATGAAATGGAAACATGCTTCTGCCATTATTAAATATGGTGCTGTGAGCCTGTTTTACTTCTAGAAGCCTTGGATAAACAGAAAATAAACAGAGTAAACCGAAACATATGCTGAAATTAGTTAATTCTCCCTTAATATTTACAGTGAGCAGCTGTCAGTTTACTAAATGACTTAGTTTTCTTAGTAGGAGGAGTTTGCACATGATGTTGAGTTTCAAAGAGCAAATCACCAGCTTTATACTTTACACTCTGCTGAATTGGGCTGAAACAATTAATCGTAATTAATCGATTATTGAAATAATTGTCGACTAATTTAGTAATCGATTAATCGTTAACTGGAGTATAGACACTGTAAAACATACCTTTAGGTGACAGAGCGACCCACCTGTCAAAATGCTCTATCCAGAGCTTCTCAGGTGGAGAAGCTTCACCAGCTTCACGTGGTTTAATGTCGTAAAAAATCTGATTATTAATCGATTAATCAAAAAAAATAATCGACTGATTAATCGATTTGCAAAATAATCGCAAGTTGAAGCCCTACTGCTGAACCATATGTTTTGCATTTTTCTAAATTTTTCTGTATTTTCCATCCACCCTTTCTTTTTCTGTGCACGTTTAGGCTCTACTGGTTCGAGCACTCCTCGAGTATTCCCAGAGCACACAGATGTCTGTGCACTATGGCCTTTCTCTGGTAGCTGGGATCTTCCTCATGGAACTAATGCGCTCCTGGTCTCTGGCGCTCATGTGGGCAGTAAACTACCGCACTGCTGCACGCCTGCGGGGGGCAGCCCTCACTTTTGCCTTCCAGAAGATCCTCCGCCTGCGAAACACTAAAGACATCACTCCAGGCGAGGTAGGGGACATCAGTGGAGACAGATGTGAGTCCGAATGAGCTAAAATGATCTGCTGCCACATCAGCATCACATGCTGATGGTTGAAATGGCCTCAGTTTGGACCTGTACACCTTCCCAGCTCATGTTTTTTAGAATAAAATTTGCTCAAATTAGTCTCACGTTTAAAATGTAGAAATTCAGAGATGTCTTTTGGCTAATTTTGTTATTGTCTAGTGTGAAATTGTTCAGCTCTTTAATAGAATTTAATCTGTCCATCCCCAGCTGATCAACATCTGCTCCAGTGATGGCCAGCGGCTGTACGAAGCGGTGTCCGTGGGCTGCCTGCTGGCAGGCGGGCCCTTGGTGGGGATACTCGGTCTTTCATACACTGCATACTTCCTGGGGCCCACAGCTTTACTGGGATCAGCCATTTTCATCTTCTTTTACCCAGTTATGGTACGAGAACACTATGTGTTTAAGAAATCAGGAATGCGATTCTAGGTCTATCTTTTAAGGCCTTAATTGCTCTATTTTCCGAAGTTCATCAGAACATTTTTTATACTCTTAGAACCTTTTTTTACACACTGAACTAAAATTACAAAATTTTATACAATATAAGGATTGTATAGATTTTTGATTTGACATTTTTTTCTGGAAAAAAAATAAAAATCTGCTTTTAGATTTTTTTTAGCACTCTAACCTCTCTTTAAAAATACCATAAACAAACATAGTGGTAGATAAATAGTATTTTGTTTTTTGTTTTTTTCTGCAGATTTTCTTTCCTGATTTACCTAATTTGACTCCAACCTTCTTCCCATTATCCCAGATCAGGTTTCCTGTTAGGCAAACAGAAACCACACTGCATGGTGCTGTATATTTTAAAAAATATGGATAGACATGGTATAGGTACACTCTATTTAATGATTATAATAATAATACATTTGATTTATACTGCACTTTTCATCAAAAAGACCTCAAAGTACTACAAAAAAGAAAAGCTTTAAAAAATGAAATACATAAAAATTAAAAAAAATAATAATAATGACCAAAAAAAATTATAATAATACTAAAAGCTGTTTTAAAAAGAGTAAAAAAAAAAACATTTAAAGGTGACCAAAAGTTTAAGCTTCATTATGAGATTATCCCTTAAGCCATTTTCTGCACCAAATTTTTCCTTTTTTCTCAAGGCCATCAGAGTAAAAAGGGCTGAATAAAAATGCATTTAAATATTTCTGACTAAAGAATACGAAAAAAATAGACATTTTTTTGCAAAGGTCTCTTTGATAGAATCCCTTAAAATACATTGAAGTTCCTAATTTTGCTGTCAGAAAATGTTAAACAGTTGAAGGTGAATAAATAATAAGACAGCCACGCTAAATAAAAAGAAAATTAAAGAAAACCTTTTTTTTTAAATTGTTTCATATTTTTTTTCTTTTAGTAAAGTTATTTTAGACTCTTAAAGAACCCTGCCAGCACTTTTAATAGGATCATAACTACGTGATCATAAATCTCCCGTCACCTTTTTATCCGTTAATGTCATATTACACCAATTATACCTCTGGCACAGCCGGAGACGCAGGCGTTCATGTGAAGGGCGTTTATCACTCCAGTGTCCCGGAGAGGCCCTACAGCTCAGCCAATACAAGTGCGTCTGCTTTCATTTCCTCTCCTGCCACTTATTCTGTCATCGTTTTCCCCCCCGTCGCCGCCTGGACAGATGCTCGCATCAAGGCTGACGGCGTATTTCCGCAGGAAGTGCGTGACGGTCACTGACCGGCGTGTGAGGCTCATGAACGAGATCCTGGGCTGCATAAAGTTCATCAAGATGTACTGTTGGGAAGACTCGTTCTCCCGGAACGTTCACAGTGAGTGACTGTCTGCTTCCTAAATGACTCAGCGATTACATGCAAGGGCTTATTTCCTGTTTTTGGTGCTTTTTACCATCATTTTCTTTTTTTTCTGTGGTTTTCTGTCCCCTTTATTTAAATACATTTTCCTCCAAATGTGTCAGTATACTGAAAGAGGCTGTTTTTCATGTGGTCTTTGCAGTTACAGATTTTTTTCCCCCCCTTTTAATCGCTCTCTAAATGAATCAAGTGGGACTCGGTTTTACTGCTGTTCTGTGATGACCTATTACAGTGATAAATGATTGGTATTCACTTTAATTACAGATGAGCCTTGCAGGTTACAGAGCCATTCCTTTCAATTAGTATCACCATTACATGGATGATCAGAGTTTTTGGCTGGGATGTATGAGTCTCTCTGTGCGACTCGCACTGAAACGTATCTAAAGGGAATCCAAATTGGGAATAAGATGTACCGAGAGGATTCGGAGGACGGAGTTCTCATATTTCACACACCGTGCTGCTGGGGCTTAAGATGCTCAGAGTTTTTGTTCTTGCATTGGGGCCCAGTGCATCAGGTTAACAAAACATCCAGCATATGCATTGAGGAGATACAAACATGGAGCAAAGGGGTCAGTGTTTGGGCATTAGGCCCAGAGAATTGTCAATCCTCAGCAGGTTTTCAAGCTCCTACAAGAGAGAGCTCTCATTCTGCCTCTTGAATCTGTTTTTTTATACACGCTGGGGTGGTTAGTGGCTCTAGGAGTGCTGTTGATTGAAGGTTCATTGGCAGACCCTTTGGGAGCCACTCAGCTCCTATTTTGTTCTTTTTTTATGTGGTTTTAGTCATCTCTCCCTTTCATGTCTCTTCCACAGAAGTGCGATCAGAAGAAAGGGGGATACTTGAAAGAGCTGGGGTCGTCCAGAGTCTCACAGTGGGTGTGGCTCCCATCGTCGTCGTGATAGCAAGCGTGTGCACGTTCACCCTCCACATGGCCTTGGGCTATGACCTTACTGCTGCTGAGGTATTCATACTCGGGAACCCGAGACATAAACGGAACAAAGCATTGTCAGATTAGTTCTGAACTGCTTTTAAACAACAGCTGTCACACTTCTGTGAATCAATCCTTTTTGTATTTATTGTTGGGTTTTAAAGGCTGGTGCCAGAAAAACGGTGCAGTAACTTTTTTTTTTTTTTTTCTCCTATCCGTAAGGCTTTTACTGTAGTGGCTGTTTTCAACTCAATGACTTTTGCCCTAAAAGTCACACCTCTTGCTGTGAGATCGCTGTCGGAGGGTTCCGTCGCAGTCAAAAGGTTTCAGGTGAGAACAATAGAAACATCTGGAATATTCACAATACGTGTGTGTGTGTGTGTGTGTGTGTATATATATATATGGCCATTTATTATAGACAAAAACAAAGGAATGCATAACACTGAAATGGAAAATGTTCAACCTTTCCTGGCAAATCAAAATTGTTGGAGTGCAGTGTGTAATTAGTTAGACAGGTCTGAGATAAAGTGGAGCCCATAGCTCAAGCTTGGAGTGTTTCAGATAGCGGTGTTCAATCTGTCATTCACAAATGGAAAGATTATGGCACAACAGCAGACCGTATATCCATCTAAACTGAAAATATGTGCAAGAAGAGTTATTAATCAGAGAAGTGGGAAGGAATCCTGTGGTAACTCTGGAGGATCTGCAGAGTTTTACAGTTCAGGTCGGAGAATCTGTTGTCAGGACAACTATAGCTCCTTCAACATCAAGATGCATATTCGTGCCACAGGGTTTTTAATTTACTTTTTCATAGATTTTTACTTGTAAAATAAGAAAATTCATGCATCATTTTCCTATTAATCCTTAAAGATCCATTACTTTCTTAATCTGTCACATTAAATCCCCATGAAGTACTCTAAGAATGTTTTTAATGCTCCTTTATATTTGATCAAAATTTAAAACTTTATTGTGTGAGAATTGGCTAGAGGTCTCCACCTAGAACAAATAAAAAAGGGGATCCTGTTGCTGAACACCTCATATTTTGATATAGTGTTTCCGAGCACATGGGAAAAGTCACATGTCAGTGAGAGAAGTTCCCAGAGCCAGCCAGGGTTTAAGTAAGCAGACATCTCTGCCAACAATGCACCACAGGGTCCAAGCTTCTCTCTGAATTCACTCTCGTGCAGGAATTATAAAGTGCTGAAGAGCTTAAGGAAAGGCCAGACTGTACTTAAAAGCTTTAGGCTCTGTAATGCAGTCATTAAAGCGGTAAAAGTATGTAATTACGTAACGCCATGTATGATAGATCCCAAGTTGAAAAACTTTTAGTTGAACATAAAAGGGAAATTGCAATAAATTAAAGTATTCTATTAACAGTATTATTTAAAAGCTTTTAAAATTTCTGCATTAAAAGTATATAGCTGATGGTATAGTGAACTGTTTCCGGTTTAACTCCACAGAGGCTCTTCATGATGGAAGACAGAGAGATGATTTTAGACAAAACAGAGGATCCCAGCAACACAGTGGAGTTTCTGGACGCCACTCTGGCTTGGGAGAAGGCGCGTCCCCCTGCTGTAAAGTCAAATCTGCCTCCCAAGAGGCGTAGTGGGATACAGCGGGTGCTGCGCAGGGAGAAGCTTAGTTTGTTCATTCCTACAGACGACAACAAGGGGAATCAAGATGGACCCAACGGGCAAAGTCTGCTCACAAACATGGAACAGGAGAGCCCACAGAGCACCATCTCCTCCACCCAGAGCATACGGCCGCCACTGCACAAGACCCTGCACCGCATTAATCTGCAAATCAAAAGGGTAACGCCACCAATCAGTGCAGTTAAAGGGATTTTGTCTAAACAGTTGAGCAAACCCTAATCTGGATTATCTAACTTTCTTATTGAAGGGGTCCCTGGTTGGAATTTGTGGAAGTGTTGGAAGTGGGAAGAGCTCACTTCTATCTGCATTACTTGGACAGGTTGGATTCAGGAACTTTCCTTCCTCTTGTTAAAAGACTACAATTAAAATGAACAGTTTTTCGTTGCTATAAAAGTCTTGAAATGTTCTGTTTCTGTTCTACAGATGACTCTGGTAGAAGGTAGAGTCGCAGCATGTGGTGGATTTGCTTATGTTTCCCAACATGCCTGGATCCTCAACGACTCCCTAAAGGAGAACATCTTATTTGGAAATGAGTTTGACTCAGACAGGTAAAATCACACCTTGAGTCCCAGTTAATAATATCTTCAAATGAACGGCATAGCATTTCAGATTTATTTGCCGTGTTTTCACTGCAGATATGGTGCAGTGCTAGAAGCATGCTGTCTTCTCCAAGATCTTGCAGAGCTTCCCTACGGAGATATGACTGAGGTCTGTGTTTTGTTTTGTTTTTCTCTTCAAAGACACTCAGAATTTTACCTGCTAAATATCAGTGAGCTTAGTTTGGTATTTCTCATATAGATTGGAGAAAGAGGTGCCAACCTGAGCGGCGGGCAGTGTCAAAGGGTGAGCCTGGCCCGTGCTCTGTACAGCGAGAGACCCATACTACTGCTGGATGACCCCCTCAGCGCAGTCGATGCGTGTGTGGGTTCACATATCTTCAGCAGAGCCATTCGAGGCGTGGCGAAAGGCAAGACGGTGCTGTTTGTAACCCACCAGCTACAGGTCAGAACCACCTGTGAACTTTTTAACTTTTTATAGACACTACTCACTGTATTTTTGTCATTTTGAAACATGAACTATAAATAGAGGTCTATATTTGGGAAAAAGAATGAAAAGTGGTACAAATTAAATTTTGATCTATGTCCAGAAAACTGTCATATCAACTTGCACGGCACAGATCCAAAGTTTTCATTGAAATTAGTCTTACCTGATGTAAATAAATAACTAATTCTGGTTGTTAAATCTGAAAAGTTCTACAATTTTTATCGAACTGTGGTAGTCTGAACTTATACTACTTTATCTGTAGCCAAACATCCCTCTATCTGACTGCCAAGCCTCCGTCTTCCCTCTGGCACTGACTGGGATCATGGCGAGGGTAAAGGCTGATCTCCAGGCACATGCATGGCAGGGCTAACTGATGGAACTGGGCACATTTTGAGTCTGTCTACCTGGTGATTGTTTTCAGCTGGTGTAACAGTTGGTGCAGCCAAACATGTAAAGACTGCAGCAAAGGAAACATAAAAAAAAACAAAAAACTTTGCATTTCTTGAAAGCATGACAGACTTGGGTTAAATGAAAAGTATTTCAATATAAAAAGAAAAATGGCTTTTCGATATCTAGATAACATAAAAAAACAACATCCTGAATGCAGAAGAGAGCTAAGGAGCAGGTCAAACTGGGAAAACAGGTCAAACTAAGCAGATCTCTATGGTTTATAAAAACTATTAGGGGGAAGGAGTTGCAAGGGTGTATCCTTTTTACACTTTTGGTGCAGTGGTCTTTCACCGAAGGAGATCTCCATCTCTGTAACATTATGTATGACATGGGGGACATTGTCCAACATTGTCTCCCACCGCCTGCACTGTATCTGGAAGACATCCTAGGACAGAGCTCATCCAGCTGCTTCCACTCAGCTGCAATGTACCACAACATAAAAAATGGCAAATCCCATGCAAAGTTATTAATACAGTATTTTTTGTGTGACTTTTCCGCACACATGGTGTGGACACGTATCATTAACGTTCGCCCTAACCCCCAAATCCCTCAATTACTATATAGAGCGTTGACTTTATAGTGGACTTTATAGTGACTTCAGTTAACTGACCGTTCAGACAGATGATCACAACTTTCATTCCCCGTTGGTCACGTGACTCCGCCTCCCTGCATGGTGCCTGCACCATTTTTGTTATTTGGGGCTGCTGTGACAACAGCTCTCCTCACAAAGTATTTCAGGATATATCTGCTCCTTCTTACCTTTGTATTTTGCTTCCTTTGTATTCTCAGTATCTGCCCGAATGTGATGATGTGATCCTGATGAAGGACGGGCAAATTGTTGAACACGGCAGCCATGCACAGCTAATGAGCAAAGCGCGTGACTATGCCACCTTATTCAACAGCATGCAACAGGAGGTAAGGCTGGGGCCACATGAGGGACAAAGGCTCCTCCTTTGAGTGAAAGATCCCCCCCCCGATACACAGCAACTCTGAACATTACAAGCTGAATAATTCATGAGGACAGATAGACGGGCTCGATACAAGGGAAATTTTAAGATGTACAAGGCCTTTCATTGTTTATGTACCTTTTTTTTTTTTTTTTTTATGCTGGCAATGCTGTAAAAAGACAGTGTCACATTTATCTCTGTTTAAATTCTGTCTGGTATTAATGGAGCTGAGCCGATTTTGTGGAAGCTTTTCATCAAATCTGAGCCCTTGTTTTTCACATTTGTCTTCCAGAATGTAGTAAAAGAGAATTTGAAGAATAAACGGACGGGGGGAGTTGTGAAAACAGCTGACGGCGCTGCTGATGTTGCCAAGGTTGAGATAAAGGTGGAGAGCAGGGACAGAGGTGAGGGATGCTGTCTTTTAGTTATCTATTTTTTTTATCCTATACGTGAGATTAAAGCTGAATGTGACTTTTTTTCCCCCTATCTTGTCTCGTCTTTTGTTTCAGAGCAACTGATGAAAGCAGAAGAAAAAGGCTCTGGTGCTGTGGCCTGGTCTGTGTACGCAGCATACATTAAAGCAGCAGGAGGTCCATTAGTCTTTATCATCAACATCGTCTTCTTCCTGTCCACAACTGGCAGCATAGCTTTTAGTAACTGGTGGCTGAGCTACTGGATCAGGCAGGGCAGTGGGGTAAGTCAACAAACATTTTCATCAATCAGGTCGCTGGTTTCACTGCATTATTTCTTTATGGTATCAGAGTAAAAAGGGGTTGGATGCAAATACAGCTCTTGCAGTTTTTGCCTTTTCATGCATTGGCGTATTGCATAAAATCCCAGTAAAGTAAATTAAATTTTGTGTTGGTAACCTGACAAAGTGGGACAAATTTTGGAAGGGGTTGGAATACTTTTGCACATCACGGCAGGCGCCTCTCTTTAGCGTGTGTTTGGCTCCCAGAAGAAAACTAACTACTCTGCTTCAGTGAGTTGTGGCAGCAGACTGAGCATTAATCTGAATGTGCATGATTAAAAAAGTAACGGCACATCGGTAAACTTAATTAAAAACAAGCACGAGTAGTTGAGAAACAGATGTGCAGCAAAGCAAGGACTCGTCGCCGTGGAGGTGATGTGCTCCGAATAGTAAAAACGTCACCAGGCCGGCTGGATTTTATGTACTTTTTTTGAAAGCCAAACTGTGCTTTTCTCAATTTGATTAGGGAGCCAAATGGGGATTTTTTTTCTCTCTCTCTCAGTGTTTGTAATTTGTTGCTCCATCTGCCCTCAGAACACATCATTAATCTCGGCGAATGAAACGATGGAGAGCAACAGCATGAGGCTCAACCCCCATATTCAGTATTACTCCACTGTTTATGTCATTTCCATGGGAGCCGCGTTATTTCTGAAAACTGTGAGGGGGTTGGTGTTTGTCAAGGTAAGGGTCTTTCTAAACATCCTTTCTTCCCAAACACTGATGAACTTTGACATAATCTCAGAACTTCACATATTATTAATGTTCTACAGTTAAGTGCTCCCCTATAATTGTCATTTTTCAAGCTTGTGTGGCTGCAGCAGCGTAATGGAAAATAGCTGCAGGCCAAATCCATTTAGTATTTGTCCACTGCTGCTTTTCACAGCTTTACAAAGGCTGTGTGTGTCTGTCTGGGATTGAATAAAAAAAATAAAATAAAAAAAATAAAAATAGAAATCAAGGAAAAGTGTTTGTGCCCATGTTAGCCCCCCCCCCCCACCACCCCTCGGGTGAACGTCCTCTTTTTTTCATGCTAACCCGTCCTGACACACCATTGCTGAGGTTAGTCCCCAACGTTAATACTTGCCACTTGAAATTGCTAATTTTTCAAAGATGGATGATCTTTTCTTACCTCTAGCTGTGATGAGATCTTTGTGTGTGTTAAATATTCCATTAATAGAATTAATTTGTTCTTTGCTGCCACATGTAATTTCTGTCCAATTGGTGAAATGTCTTTTGCGAATTGGGTCATGACCTTTATGTAAGCCTCCCAGAAAGCTCATTATGACTCAGGATTTGACAGCCCACCCTTCACGCAGAAGGAAAACAGCCACCCAGCTCCGCACACATGCTAAGCATATTGAAAGCCGGTGTTCGTAGGTCTGCAGCCGACATGTGGCTGCCTCGATCTCTGAGTGATTCCCCTTCACTCTATGATCGCTGCCGTATGCTTGTTCAACTTGTTTGTTTACATGTGTCGGGTCTCGTATTGAAACATGAGTTGTTGTCTGCTTTGACAGTGCACGGTGAAGGCCGCCTCTGCTCTCCACGACAAGCTGTTCCGCAGGCTCCTTCTCAGCCCCATGCGATTCTTCGATACGACGCCTCTGGGTCGCATCCTGACCCGCTTCTCCAGGGACATGGATGAGGGTGAGGCTTGATTTGTCTTGACTGAGAACCTGTCCCCGAGGAGAGCTCTCAGTCGGTGAAGTCACCGTGGTTGACAAGGTGTAGTGTAGAGGCTGAGTGTGATTCGGCAGAGTGTTTTTCCCGTGCGAGTTGCTCTCTATTATCCACTTCACTTGTCTTTGCTTCATGTGTCAATATTGTTGTTGTTTTTTGAGCTTCTATTGTTTTTTTGTTGTTGTTTTTTTAGAAACCTGCAGTTCATCCACCATTCTTTTACACCAAACACACAAACAGTATTTGGTCATATATGGGTATTTTAAGCATTAAGTAAAATAAAGTAGAGGTTCAGATACTGCCCACGGTCAAACTATGCAAGCATTCCTCCTCCTAAAGATTTGAGGAAGAGTCACATGTACCCCAGTATGACTGGTTAGCCTGTTTGATCTTCCCCAGCAGCTTTTCCATCCACATTTTAAGGCAGGAAAGAGGATTCTGTGGTAGAAGATATGTCTAGAGTCGAATGTAAGGCAGACTGTGAATGCTGTTTGTGTATTTCTTAATTGTGTGCATGTGTCAAAGCCCCCTCCTTTGCAAAAGTTTTCTACGCTGCAAAAGCCTCAACCCGTAAATTTGTATTTCACCTAGAGAGGCAGCAAAGTGCCAGGATGCACAGAGTCAGCAGGAGTCAAACGTAATTTACCGGTCCAGCAGAAGTTTTGCCAACCACCATAAGTGCAAGAATGCCCTCCATCAATTAAATAATTTTAGATTAATTTCTAGGAAAAAATCCTCTTTTTCATACCTTTAAGTATTTAGATCAGGCATCCCCAAACTCGTTCCTCGAGGGCCGCTGTCCTGCAGGTTTTAGATGTTTCTCTGCTCCAGCACCGCTGATTTTAATTGATAGTTGATTAACAGGCTTTTGCTCTACTGTAATCATCATAATCAGCTGTTCTAAAGCAGGGAAACCTCTAAAACCTGCAGGACAGCGGCCCTCGAGGACCGTGTTTGGGGATGCCTGATTTAGATAGTGCGACTATAAGCACTGTGGACCAAACATATTTGATTAAATACTGATAATCTGTGTCACTACTGCTTTGAGAGCAGAAGATGTGGCTGTTTGTGAGTCTTGAGCATCCAGGTGTGTGTTTGTAAAAACCCCAGAGAGGGAAAACATCAGCAGTGAAGCTACTCATCAGCATGGAAAGAGTTAGTAGGTCACTTTCTGACAAGAAACAGTTCTGGGTTAACATGTTTAATGTTTAAGAACATGACTAGAGCAGAAAAGCAGAAGATCTATGATCAATTTATCAAGAGACCAACCAACCTCTTCTCTCTAAATGGAAAATGGCAGCATTACTTAGATTGACCAGGTTGCATCTACATAACCCACACGACTTCTAGACTGCTTTAAGCCAGATGCATAATACTAGATTTTTTTGCAGACTGTATAACGCCATATCCAACATATCAGCACAAAAACCTCGTATCATAAGTCAAGCACAGTGATGGAGGGTTTTTGGTTTGTTTTCCAGCTGCTGAGTCGTCAGCCATGCCCTCCTCTATAAGCCAAAGTATTCTAGAGTCGAATCTAAGGTAGGCTGTCAAGGCTGAAACTGATTCATGACAGGAAAAAGATCTACAGAAGAATGACTCGGAAAAAAGGAATTAAAGTATTCCAGGTTCCACAACTCAACCCCAGAAAGGCTTTTAATTTAATCCGCTGGTTAAAAATAAATCAATAAAAAGTAGAGGCTCTGCAACAATCTGAATAACTTTTTAGCAGGTTTCTTCTACAAGCCGATTTTTTTTTATCCATGACTAAATGAGATGAAAGAAAACATCAAACTAATTTAGTTTTACATAATTACATAATTAAATAAAACATAATTCAAGCAAGATTTGAGACTCATGGGGGTATTTTTCTTCCTGTGACTATAGATGGATCTAAATCAGAATCATGCTAAATTTGGTCTAAATGCATGTAAACTTGGTCATGACAAACAACCAAGCATGTTTTTTAGTTGCTTAGAAAACCACTCAACACACTTCCCCTCACATCTTTCATCACACAGGGCCTCTGACCTATTTTTATTTTCTTCTCTTCCTCACAGTGGACGTGCGTCTGACCATGCAAGCTGAAATGCTGCTTCAAAACTTGACTCTGGTGCTGTTTTGCCTGGGGATGGTGGGGATGATCTTCCCCTGGTTCTTGATCTCAGTCCTGCCCCTGGGTGTCTTCCTGTGTGTCGTCAATCGTGTCTCCAGGTCAGACTCTCATCTCTCCATTTTATTGTAAAGATGCTTGGTGGCACTTTCCTTTTACTGGCAACTGGTTGTTTTTTCATTCCATATGGAGCTGATCGAGAAAAAAACTGAGACATTTTTTTCTTTTCTTTAATGTTTCTTATTGGGTATATTTTATTATGGGTTCAGATTATTACATGTATTTAGGGAAATACAAAGGGGTTAATACTTACAGCAGTGTTACTCAATAACATATATGATTGTGCATCACCAGCGTGCTTATTTGGCAGCACTACCTCAACAGGACATAATAACTCTCTCTGCTTCATTCATTGTTTATGTGTCACTGCAAGTTTGCCATTAAAGGTAAATCCAACAAAGTGGGGAAAAGTTGGATTTTTCTTCTGCCCAATTACCTCAAAATAATGTGTATTCCTTTAATGAATAATTTCAAGATAAACATAGTTCCGAGTTTTGGATCAAATCTGCAAACTACAGTTAATTATATCCGTATTTTGTGCTCTAATGTGATTTCAGCAGCAAAAAAGCTTCTGTTGCTTCATTTTTGATGCTTGTCCACATTTTTTTTTTTTTTTTCCAAATCTTTTTATTGAAAAGTCAGAGGTAGAAACAATAGATCGTCTTCATGGTTACAAAAGACTTTACGTTTTTCAAACTTTATACACATTCAGAAAAACCACACCCTCCCCCCACCCAGACTGGACCCAAAAATAATTACAATAATTGTAATTGTAATGAATCAAAAAACAAACCAAAAAAAAAAAAAACACTACACCGACAGTAGACTTCAGTTTTTGTTTGTTAAATATGGGCAGGCATCAGAATAAACAAATTAAAACAGTAGGTGAATAGCTCGAACTGCATTCCAAGGTCCTCTTGGCCAACAAAGTATGCCTTTGTGTATGCTCAGCTTTTTAATTGAAACCATAAAATCTTTCAATCTAATGCAATGTTGGAGGAAGTTCTTGGAGGCCACTAAAGTATGAGAGAAAGGGTTCCCAAACAGATTGAAATTTGTCTGAACGCCTTATAGCAAATTTGATTTTTTTCCAAGTGCAAAAATAACATTACAGCTTTTAATGCTTGTCCACATTAAGGTCAGATTTGCCTCAAGATGCTCCCGAAGCTTGTCCAATAAAGTGTTTTCAGATGCATCTGATGCTTCTGCTGCACTTGTTTTCAATGCCAGAGACTGGCTTTGCTATATTTGCTGTGGTCAGTGGGTAAAAAGGAGTTTTGATACGTTTTTAAGTTAGAAGGTCCACCTGAAAACATTGTCTGTGCAGTCAGTTAATCAAGAATACGATCCTGCCTTAAAATGTTATTTTGCTGTGGGAGCCTCGCAGACCCCCTCATTACAGTGGTGCTCTTTCATTAGAGAATCCCCAGCAGCAGCTGCCTCAGGCCAGGGCGCCTATTAGTGGATTTCTGCTACTGTCGGTGGCGGCTGGACATACGGTAATATGTTAGCTTTTTTTTAGGGTATGTGGTACAAACTGATTTATGAGACACATGGGTTAATGACTTTATTTAGTGATTGAATTATAACATTATAGTAAGTTATAGTTATATGTGAAATATAGAAATACCAGTAGGTATAATGCCCTAAAACTTCTCTTCCTTCAAATATGTTTCACCTAAAACCTGGATCTTAGCATTTCTTTCACCTGATCTGACTCCAGTCTGTCTCTTCTGAGATTGCTTTAATTAAAGAATATCTTCATTTGGAGACGCTTAATTGGTGTAAAATCCAAGTGGAATTTAATATAAGCTTTGATAAACAGCAGACTTGAACTGATTCCTGACAGCTGATGAAAAGCAGTGATAACCCTCGGCAGCGCTGCTTATAAATGGACCATCTTATAAAGATGCCACATGCCAAGCAGGATATGGATGGGTGTTATGTAAACGTGGATCTCCCATTGAAATTACCCACTTTTAGAAAGTGCTTCTTTTTTTAATGGATCTCTGAAGTGAAACTGCCCAAGGCATAAACATGTTTGTGTGCGTGACTGCCTGGAAGGGAGCAAGTGTCACGTTCTTTCCTCGTCTCCTTACAAGCTTTTATGAGGAAGCCAAATGATTCATGTGAGACTTGTAATTCCCAAACTGTCTCTTTCTGTCTTGGCAGCCAAAAAGTAGACAGAAGTCTTGCCTTTGTCAGTAAACCTCTTCTCCTCTCACTTCTGCGTCAAAAACTCACCCGTCTACAAAGAGTATGGCTCCCTGTTGCGCACCAAGCAACCGTCAGTGGTGAAAAAGAAGCAATTCGGAGGAACAAAGGGGGCACATCTCCCTCCATGTGTCATCTCATCATAACCTGTGTGCAGTGGCGTCATTAGAACTAAAGCATTTTCCACTGGATTATTTACAAATTTCCCACCGCCACCACCTCCTCAGCTGTGTTTCTGTAGTTTAAGATTTCCTCCATATCACTGACCAGTTTAGCATTTGTTTTTAAGGTGGTTTGAATCCCCTTCACAAAGCTTTTAAGCTTCCCTGCTTTGTTTCCTGTGATTCACTGTTGGTTTTATGCTACAACGCCTCAAGATTTTTCCACTTGACTGCAACAAACTTTTAAAGAGTTTATTGGGACTTAACTGGATAAGAAATCCTTGAAGAAAAGATGTTAGAGGCTATAGAAAACCTGCTGGTGCTGGGGCGGAGGTTCACCTTACAGCAGGACAATGAACCAAAGCTTAAAGCCAGAGAATTGTTTAGATGAAAGGATATGCAAAGTCTAGGATTAAATCAAATTAACAGTTATTCATGAGCCAATGAGCAGTTTCTATCTAATCTGAATGAGCTTTGACTGCTTTTCCTAGAAGAAAAGGAATGTTTTTGTCTTTAGATGTGCATAACTGGTAGAGGTTTTTTATTTTATCACGGTAAATCAGGCTAAATACAAATCTATGTAAGACTTACCTGATTTTACTGATTGAAGTTTTTTTTAAATGCAAAAAAACTTCAAAATTCAATCAAAAGTGCATTACTAATCTTTAGTTAAGCAATAATGTGTCACATTGTTTTAGGCTATCTCTTGACATTCTGATGTATAGTATTAATTTGTGGTTGTAAAGAAGCAAAGTTTGGAAAAAATTCAAGGATGGATGCTTTTTCCAAAGCAGCATGTTTGAAAACATCTCTGCTCAAAAGCTTTAATTATTTTACACAATGATCCAATATTTTCATTGAAATGATAGCAGCAGCTCTGCTGTGTTTTTGGACTTGATGATTGAAGTGGATTTTCGTGGGAATTCATAGAAACAAATCCAAGCGGAACAATGATTTCATGCTTTCCTGGAGCCGCAGTTTAATTCCTCATTATTGCAGCTACACGCTTTACTCAAATTGATTGGTTTATTTCAAGTTGAAATTAAAATACTGTCATTGTTTGTTTTTTTCTTTTTTTTTTTTTTAGGGTTTTCATCCGCGAGCTGAAGCGCTTGGAGAATATCAGCCAGTCACCATTCACCTCCCATATAACCAGCAGTCTGCAGGGACTTTCCACCATCCATGCGTATGGAAGAGAGCACAGCTTCCTCCAAAGGTGAACTCAAGGATATCTGTCATTGACTGATGCCATTAAACTTCACATTAATCTTATCTCCTCTTCTAGTTTCTCTCTTTTCTCCTACCCTATAAATATATTAGCCCACAGCTTAGAAATGTTGCCCTCAGCTGCACTGCAGTGCAGAGCCATGCTTACTTCCTGCTGAAATAGATTAACAACCACTCTCCTGTTTTTTTCTTTTTTTTTCTAAAGATATCAGCAACTGCTGGACACCAACCAAGCCACCAACTACCTCTTTAGTTGTGCTATGCGCTGGCTGGCTGTTCGCCTGGACCTCATCAGCATCTCCCTCATCACCGCTGTGGCACTTTTCATTGTCTTCATGCAGAATCAGATACCTCCAGCCTACGCAGGCCTGGCCATCTCATATGCAGTTCAGGTCTGTGAAGAAACCTGTTAAAATTGGGATTTCTTACTCATATTTAGGCCTAAATATTTTTCACATTTTATCACTTTGGAGCAACAAACCCAAATTAATCTTACTGGGATTTGATGTGATGAAATGGAAGAAAAACAATAATAAAATTCCCTTTACTCTTCTACTGGAATAAAATGCAGCTTAATACCAATCACCTCCAAAGGTCAGCTAATAATTATGCAACATGCAGGTTTTTTTTTTGCTGGTCTCTATCAGCTTTATACATCTAGAAAAGGAAGAATCTTGACATTTCTCTGTATAAGCTCAAGCTGCTCAAGCTCCATTTTTTTGTTTGAGAGCATATCTGACTGCTTTTGTTTTTTAATCACAGCTTCACTGTTACATTTATCTCTAGAGCTGAGGAGTCGATTTTAGCAGCTCCTCCAGAGTTACATTGGGTACCTTGGATGCTTGTCTTTGCCCAGCCTGTCCGTTTAGCTCTGATGGTTGTCAGTTCCTGCTTGGTTCCCCATGACTCAATCAACTCCTCCTAACAGAAACACCACTATCCACCATAAAAAGATTCATTTATTGAGTTTCTATAATTTCATCAATGCAAGAAAAACTTAAATCCCGCGGTGAAGGGCGATGAAGCGGCGAGCGGTGAATTCCACCCAGTGAGAGCGTTCACTGCTCCTACCTCACCTCATGCTGCTATGTGACATTTGCTCCAGGATAAACATTTAACCATGAATGCTTATTACATTTTTAAGCCCACATAGTCCTTTTCTATAGTAGGATAATACACTTAGAGCCTGTGTTACCATACGAGGCTGATAGAAGACTTTTACATTTTGGCGGCTCCAGACAGATTTATTTATTTATTTATTTTTTGTTCAATATGGCTCTTTGAGCAGTTTGGGCTGCCGACCCCTGGTTTAGGTGGATGTGCATCTCTTGGTGAGTTTGAAGATATGGCAGACCCCAGGGAGATGATCCTAACTTTAGTTTTATTATAATTGTACTTAACTTTAAACTTCTCCTTATTCCTTACCTGGTTGCTATGTTTCTTATAACCTTTAGGAATAGGAACCCCATTTTCTTCTTTAAATCCACAATTATACACGTTAGCCTATCATATAAAACCCCAACATAATGCAGGGAGCTTTGCTTTAGGTGTGAAATTTTTTGCCAGGCGTTGAGTATACTGTATGTGCAGCAGCTGGTTTCGGTTGCAGCTTTTTATTTCACGTTATAATCAACACAATCAGGGTAGATAATTGAGATCAATTAGCAGGACTGTGAAGGAGGCATGTCAGCGAATCTGTGCTGATGATGTCTAAACAGGCAGTGCTTTAAGGTAATTGGTGTGACAGTGATGATTATGAACCTTTTAACTCTCTGCTTGTCTGTCACCTCCAGCTGACCGGCCTATTTCAGTTCACCGTGCGGCTGCTCACCGAAACCGAAGCTCGCTTTACATCCGTTGAAAGGATAAATCACTATATAAAGGTAAGGGGTGTTCATTTTTTCACAGCAGTTAACCAGAAAGACAGAGCAGTTTAGCTGGTATGTCCCCATGTGTATTTTTTTTTTGGGGGGGGTTGTGTCCATGTGATCTGTTCACCCTTCATATCACATTCCAGAACTTGTCTCCCATTTCACAACCTCTTCCTCTTTAGCACAAAAAGAAAAAGCTTATCAAGTAGAAATCACTGCAGATCAGTTGGGGGGGGGGGGCTCACCCCCTCTTAAGGAATTCAGTGATTCATTGCAGATACCATCGCCTCTTCTTATCTCAGAGCCTTGACAGTGAAGCACCCAGACAGAGTCCTGAGGCAGCCACTCCTGCCCCCTCCTGGCCTCAGCAGGGAAAGATGAGCTTCCAGGATGTGAACATGCGTTATCGAGATCATCTGCCACTGGTGCTTAAGAACCTGTCATTTACCGTTTTCCCCGAAGAGACCATCGGCATCGTAGGCCGTACAGGATCAGGTACAGCTGACCTTCTCTGTTCCTTTAGCCTGCAGCGTTCCCACCTCACATTTATATCTTTGTTTCAACATGTCCACTTTTGTCAGCACAGCATCTTTTTTTTTTATGTGTGTTTGCAGGGAAGTCCTCCCTGGCTGTAGCTCTGTTCAGGCTTGTGGAGCTCAGTGCTGGCTCTATAGTCATTGATGGGATCGATATTGCACAGATTGGCCTGGATGACCTGCGGAGCAAGCTGGCCATCATTCCCCAGGAGCCCGTACTCTTCATTGGTACCATCAGGTAATCCAGTCACAATCAGTTAGTCACCATCCTGAGATGTATCATTTGTTTTGCATTAAAAAAGGTCAACTTCTGGCTTTCTAAGGTTACAATACGTGTTTAATTAGTTGAGAAATAATTTTCATGTTCTCATAATCGATTATATCATGTAGGACCGTATAGGTGCAGCTCAATAGATCAGCTTCTTACTGAAAAGAGTGCCTTTCAGAAATATCAAAAAATTGTTATCACACTATTGCACATAGAGTTATATATCTAGAGCATTTATTTCTGCTTCTCAGGTCATTTGAATATTACATAAGATCAATCAATGTGATGCTCAGCTTACATATTGTCCTATAAAAAGCTAGTGTACATCATAGTTTAAGCATGAATCAATGAATTAATCAGCATCATATTGATGTTTCCCAACGTTTTCCTCTGCTGTATCTCATCTTCTTCCTGACAAAACCTCCATAGTTTCTTAGATCAAATTAGACTGGTGTTAAGGTCGGGTGTGTTTGCTGAGCCAGTGACACAGGGACACAATGGTCATTAAAATAGGTGTTAGTACAGTGTGGTCAAGAGTCACCTCCTGCCTGAAAATCTAATGATCACCCCCATAAAGCCTATCAGCAGACGGAAGAATTAAGTGACCCTAGATTTCCTGGTAGAATCTCACCCTTAAGGGCTGATTATACTCCCCGCAGCAGTGAGTCGCAGTGAGCTTGTCGCAGATATTTTTGATTTCTGCCCAATTTTGAAGCGTTGCCTGCCCTTTGTTATTCCACAACACAACGCAAGAGGGACAATCACGAACTAGCTGTGGGTCTAGATACGGCAGAGGCGATGAGGAAGTGGAAAAACGCTAGGGGCAAGTTTGTGCGACAACGGAGGGACATGAGGGTGAAAAAGAGCGGGGATCCAATAAGGGACCCAGCGTTCTTGCGCACCTCGCTCTTCTAGCCGGTCTAATTTCATCAGTCGTTTTCCGCAATAGCGGTCATATAAACAAAACAAGCCAGTAAGGTACCAAACAGGAAATACACGAGTAGAGTAGATGTAGATTTGACCAATCAGAGGCCTCCTGTCTGCGGTCACCTATAATTTGGGTAGGTGCACCAGAGTGTTTGCAGAGGGGGGGTGGGGGCAGATCTGCGTTTACTGCAACACACGTAGATGACCTGGTTTCTCAGTATTAATCAGCCTTTAGCTTTAAGTAGCTACAGTCCTCCACCTTCCTTCAGACTCTGAGCCTTTGATTTCAAATGAAATGCAAAATTCACATTAAAGAAGAGACTGTTGAGAAACATTTAAAGTTCTTATTAGGAAAGAACATCAATGGCACCTTGCAGTCAGCCAGGTTTCCTTAGATCGAAAAACCATTAACCAATCTGTCTGTATGATCTGGTTAATTGTCTCTGTAATTAGACGTAAACAGATGACATGTCTTGTGAATTGGGGGTATGTAAATAAACCGAATTGATGTCTTAAATCAACGATTAGAGCAGTTTAACTCATGCCCTGAATGCTCCATCGATGTTGTCTTCTAAAAGCTCAGTCCATCCACAGGCTGCTTTTGGTAAATCCTCCTCAAGTTTGCGTCAAAATCCTGTCGGATGCCGTTATCCTCGTTACTTATGAGTTTTTTTTCTTTTGCCGCATGTTTTTCTTTGACTGAACTTTGCTTTTATAGCTTCAGCTATGCTGATAGGCAGTCTGTTATTAAAACACTTAAATATAACTTAAAAGTTTTACACTGATTGGCTGATCATTAAAATATTTACTAAGATCTTAGATAGAGGTTTATATACATGGAAATAAGCTGCAGCTCTTTCTTCTAAGTCCTTCAATGTAAAAATAGGAAAATGCTTATATTCCCGAATCCTTGTATGTACTGTTTTAGATACGCAGAGGACCTGCATTTATAATTTTAATGTCAGCAGTAGACTGCATTTGTTAGATTAATGAGACTTATTTCATTGTTGTTATGATTTCTCTTCGACCAGGAGCAACTTAGACCCCTGGGATCAATATTCTGATTTGCAGATCTGGGAAGCTCTTGAGAAAACGCACATTAAAGAAATGGTGAGTTATATAATCGATATGTTGGGAATTACACGTTCCACAGCAGCAAAAGTTTTCCTCATAGTTTGGCTCTTGTGTGGCTCTGACTCTCCGCAGGTCTGCCAGCTGCCTCATTCCCTTCATTCAGAGGTGACGGAGAACGGAGAGAACTTCTCGGTGGGAGAACGGCAGCTCCTCTGTGTGGCCAGAGCCCTCCTGAGGAACAGCAAGGTGTTGATTGCATTATGCTGCCATCTTTTATTTACATCCTCATCTTTTTTTTTCCTCTGGATGAGGGATGATCTCCTCTGCTTCAGTTAATGAGAAAATAAAAGCCAGCTTTCATCTTGTTTTCAATAGGATACCAGTGCCACCTAGTGTTGGTACCTTAAACTGTAGGGCATCAGCAGCACAGATACTAATGTTGTAGAGTGAAGTCTTTAATAAATTAAGCAGCAGGTTTCTCTCTTGTCTCATTATTTCTCTGAAACTCTACTTAGATTCTTATACTGGACGAGGCTACGGCGGCCATCGACACAGAGACGGATCGCCTCATCCAGGAGACCATTCGCAGTGCGTTTGGCAGCTGCACCACTCTCATCATCGCACATCGTCTCAACACAGTGATGAGCTGCAGCAGGGTCATGGTGCTGGACAACGGCCAGGTGTGTAGAAAACTAACCGTTGGCTGAAGCCCAACCTTGTGACTTTCAGCTGGTGAATACAAGGTCCCTTTCTGCTTCAAAACAACCTGTAAAGCATAAAGAGAACATGAAATGTCAACATGTTCCACCTGATTCATGCGGTTATGGCGCTATTTATGGAGAGCTTTAATGATTTACTTTTTTTATCAGGATGAAATGGATAACATTATCTCAAGTCTTGTGGTCTTAGGTAATCCTAGCTCTAGCTTTGGCCATCTCAACACAAACATGTCAGATACAGAATTTTAATCTGAAGTTTATAGACACCCATTGTTCATTAGAGTTTCATATAGATGCTGTTTTATTTGTTTATTTTAGTAATATATTAACTTCTTTTTCCATTTAAAAAAAATGTGTAACAAAAAATGTACCATGGATACTTTCTAATCCCCATAGGATCAGTATTATACAGACTGATTGAAATATGTAAAGACACCCTGACATATGTTGGTACTGATACACGACAGTGACTCGCAGAGAAACGACAAGATGTTTGTACCATCAGCATACCTCTGGCTGAAGATTTGGACATTTTTGACTACAAATGGCTGAGCTTATTTGAATGGGTTAACACAAGGACTTCCTTCTTTAGGCCAAGGTGTGAGTTATTCAGAAGGTTCATATCTAACCTTCTTTATCCGTGTTTGAATTTATTTAAATGAGTTTCTGGGAGGTTCAGTTGGAGCCCCCAATACACCCTCTGAAGTAAAGACATTAGTCAGGATGTTTAAGAACAATCTAGGAATCAACAAGGCTCAGGTTGATCAAACATGAAAAGTTTAAACACCAGTGTTTAGTGGACTGATAAGAACCACGTCTCGGTCCTGAAATCAATTGCAGCCCTTGTGAAGAACCCAAATCTGAACCAGTTCAATTTAAAAAATATTTAATATTTCATAGTACATACTCTGTACCTTTCTATAGTTATCTTAGAGGGTAATAGCAGAATGTAGGTGTGTTTTGCAGCAGACGTGGAAAAGCCTCATTTGTTGGGTTACTGTCTTGTGGAAAGATGCACACATTTTTCCTCTTAGATCGATTAATATTTTTTTAGGAATTCTTAAAGTCATGTTGAAGGCTTATTTCACTGAATGTAGTACTGTTGCTTTGGACATAGAATTAAATATCAATAAGATAGGATCAGATCAGGATTTGTGTCCAAATATCAGTGAATGTGTATATGTGGGCATGAGTGCATTTCATAAAGTTGAAAAAATTATAAATAAATAAATGTAATTATTTGCTGCTAGATCTTTGTGTTGTTAGATGTTGTCTGGGCCAACTAATTGAGGCCAACTAATTGATTAAAAAGCCCCATATTAGCATGGCATTCATGCTGATGATGTGTGTACGGAAAAATGCATCTCTGCTGGTCCAAAAGATCATTATTAGGAAATAAACCATATTATAAAAAGTAAAGCCAGATCTATCCAGCTACACACTGAAGTCTGTGTCCTTCAACAAAGCCAGGCAATATTTTTAACATATTGAAATCTTCTTTTGCGAGGTTCCAATAGATTCATTGCATCAATGCTAATCGTGTCTTATCTGTTTCTCACTCTCAGATTCTGGAGTTCGACTCGCCGGCAGCCCTGCTCGCAAATGAGAACTCTAGATTTCGAGCCATGATAGAGGCGTCAGACAGCAGCCGAAGCAGATGAAATAAAAAAAAAACTCTGAAGACGGGAGCCATGATTCATAAAAAATATATATAAATATGCAAAAAAATCACTCACATTAAAACATACATGCACATCAGAGAGCCAGGGACTGTGTATAAACATTAAACACATCCAGTAAACAAATTAAAATTCAGCTAACTCCTGCTGTTTATTGCTGTTTAATAGGTTATTTCCTAAAGGCCAAATAATTAACTCAGACAATAGCACTTTATGTTTGATGTGGTGCTTCCTTTTTCCGTTGGAGGTCAGTTAGTCAGAGCTTTAGTCTCTTGTTGCTCAATCCTCAGAGTGCAGTAATCTACTGCTAAATCAGAGAATAACAATATTTGCTGTTACAGTCTGATATTTACAAGGGATTTGTTTGTTTTTTGTTTATAACTAAAGAGCGTGTTTCAAAGAAAACATCTGTTATTTATTTTAAGCTTTTTTTTCTGCTCTTTTCGGTTAAAAAAAAACATTTTATTTTGTTGCAGACTAATACAGAAATTATTGTTATCTAGCTTTGAATTGTTAATACTTTCAGGTTATATGAAGGAATCAGCCATGTTTTCATATTTTCTAAGACTATTTCCAAGTACAGTACTGTGATTTGAAGTGAGCTTAAGCTTCCGAATGCTGGAGTTTAAAATCTGCACCTTTTATATTCTATTTTCGGTGGTCTGGAGGCACAGTATGTCGTTTTAAAAAATGTGAGGATTTTAGACGACTGCCTTATAGTGAAATACATGCTGAACAATCAAGAACAGTGCAATAATGCTTTGATACTTTTTCAAGATTGCCTTTATACACTTGAGATTGTTATGCTGCAATAATTTTGTTAAATATCAGATTTCTAATATAATGTTTTTTAATAAAATGTTTACATAAATGAGAGTGTCTAGTGGTTATTATACTGTGCCATGCAGAAATGTTTTTCCACGTATTTTTTATTTGGATTTAGTGTGATAGACCAAAAGTGTCATGGATAACTGTGATGCCGGCATAAGAAATAAAAATAAAAATTTCTAGCTACTTTACAGAAACGACATCAGCAGAAACTTGGCTGGCTGAGTAGAGCTAAGTCTGCGAAGAGGAACATGCTCAGAAGTGTGTATCAGTCAAACTGAACTGTGTAAAACCCTTATCTCAAGGCGACTCTGACAAGGATCTGCTCACACCCTCCTCAGCACCACTAAACCAAGAAATCCACTTGTTCAGCCTTTGAGATCAACACCAGGAGTAATAACATCTGCACTGCATGACCTGCAGGGTGGAGGCTCATTCCCGCTGCAGAAAAACCAAATAATGCTGGGTTTTAAAGCTAAGGTTTTTATTTTTGTTTTTATTAGAGTTAGAAAATTGTCAAAATCCAAAGCCAGAGTTGTTGTTTTTTTCTTTTTCAGTTCAATTCAAAAATACTTTATTAATCTAATATGGAAATTAAATGTGTTAACTCATCTGATTTTTTTTTTTTTTCACAAAGTTGTTGTAGGTGTTGATAGCTGTAGGATCTTCTGTAGTGGTCCGTTATATTGGAACTGGAGAAGCTTTTGACTGAAGACACTGTTGCAGTTTAACATTCTGATGAAGATGAAGCTCAATGTTGTTCAAAATATTCTTTATTTCATGAAAGGAAACAATCCATCCTGGTTGCAGGTCAGAATTCCCTTAAGCTCTTTAACCTCTTATCCTTTATTCATGCTTTAGTGAGCTGCAACGCACTCAGACATAAAAATTTTCATTATCATAAATGTAGTTATTGAAATATAATTTTTTTTTTTATTTATGGAAAATGAGCCTCACTTTGAGCTTATTTACACAGTGCATTTAAAGAATCCCTGTAAACACATACATTTGCATATTCAGTTTGTTTCATTGATCTGTTGGAAAATATTTCAACTTTCATGCAGTCAAACTCTAGAAAGACTACTAACCTGATCCATTTATAGGGTTAGCATCAAATATCCTAAACTTTTCTTTTACATCACGTTGAACCATAAACTTCAGTGTGGTTTATTGAGCTTATGCAATAGACCAACGCAAATCAGTGTTTAATTGTGGGATTCAAAGAAAGAGATCTGCTTTTTTCTATTTTTTTTTTTTTTTCTTAGGGATCTCTGAGTCAATGCTGTATCGCTGCAGTCACAGCAACAGG